AAAGCTTCTGGTGAGAATCAGGTAACATCAGATATGCTGAAAGATGGAGGACAAATTGTGTTAGAAAAACTAGCCACCCTGTTTACGAGGTGTCTCCTGATGGGAAGAGCACCAGAATCTTGGAAGATTGCTAACCTCATCTTAATACATAAGAAAGGAGATGACAAAGACTTGAAGAATTACAGGCCGATCAGCTTGCTCTCCGTAGCATACAAGCTATTTACAAAGGTAATTGCTAACAGAAATAAGACAACATTAGAATTCAATCAACCAAAGGAACCAGCAGGATTTCAAACAGGCTACTCGACAATCCACCACATTCATACTATCAATCAGGTAATAGAGAAATGCTCAGAATACAGCCAACCACTATACATAGCCTTCATAGATTACGAGAAGGCGTTTGATTCAGTAGAAATATCACCAGTCACGCAGACAATGTGGAATCAGGGCGTCGACGAAGTATATATAAACATCCTGGAAGAAATCTACGGGGGTTAACAGCTACCATAGTGCTTCATAAAGAAAGCAACACAATACCAATCAAGAAGGGTGTAAGGTAGGGAGATACAATCTCCCCAATGGTATTTACCGCATGCTTATAGGAAGTTTTCAGAGGCCTAGAATGAGAATAGTTAGGTATAAGAGTTAATGGAGAGTACCTTAGTAACCTGCGCTTCCCCGATGACATCGCGTTGTTGAGTAACTCAGGGGACGAATTGCAAATCATGATTACGGAGTTAGACAAGGAGAGCAGAAACGTATGTCTTAAAATTAATCTGCAGAATACGAAAGTAATGTACAACCTCAGAAGAGAGCAGCGCTTCGAAGTAGGTAATAGTGCACTTGAAGTTGTAAAAGACTATATCTACTTAAGACAGGTAATAACCGCGGAGCCGAACCACGAGATTGAAGTAGCTAGATGAATAAGAATGGCGTGGAGCACATTTGGCAAGCACTCTCAAATCATGACTGGTGGAATGCCACTATCCCTCAAGAGGAAGGTACATAACAGCTGCATCTTGCCGGTACTTAGCTACGGAGCAGAAACCTAGAGACTTTCAAAGAGGGTTCAGCTTAAATTGAGAACGACGCAGCAAGCAATGAAAAGGAAAATCGTAGGTGTAACCTTAAGGGACAAAAAGAGAGCAGAGTGGATCGGGGAACAAACCAGAGTTAAGAATATCATAGTTGAAATCAAGAAGAGGAAATAGAAATGGGCGGGGCATGTAGCGCGATTACAAGATAACTGCTGGTCATTAAGGGTAATTAACTAAATTCTCAGAGTAGGCAAGCGGGTCAGGGGGAGACAGAAGGGTAGGTGGGCAGATGAGAATGAGAAGTTTGCTGGTGTAAAATGGCAGCAGCAAGCACAGGACCGAGTTGACTGGCGGAACATGGGAGAGGCCTTTGTCCTGCAGTGGACGTAGTCAGGCTGATTATGATGATGATGATGGACAAGATAGGGTACAGAAAGTCCATCTATCAAAGACTGTCACTAATATGTATGCAGTTAGTGGCAGCATTCATGGTACACATAGCAAATGGTGTAGAGTTTGTTTAGAAGAAGCTCTCGAACAGCCACTGCTTCAAGAGACGTTTGAAGTTTTAAGTGAACTGTAAGGCCTAGATCTCCGGATGATGCCATCTTATCATCGCAATTTCTTCGGAAAATAATGTAACTGCGTATAAATTGGTGCGCTTAGGTTTTAAGTGCATTTCTGTAAACACAGTCCTCTTGGTGAGTGTTTGTGTAAAATAAAAGTAGTGCAGTGTGTTCGAAAATGAAGTGACTGTGTAAGAGTAAAGTTGTACCTGAAGTAGCAGGGCCGTCGTTGGGCCCTGTTATTTTCTTGGTTTTCCTACTGCGCTCCAGGGAGCAATGCTGCACTTCCGGCACCCGAGTTACCGGATTTGTGTCAATTGCCTCATATGAGGCACTGGACGCTCGTGTACGTGAGCTGCTGTTGCGTGTTTGCGACGTCACCCGGCAAAACGTGGTTAGGGCACCTGACGAACCTGGAGTCACCGGGCTTTGTGGCTTGGTAGGTGGAGCAGACTTGGCTGCTGCCACCACGGGAGCGACCGCCACAGCCGATCGCTCATTTTGCGCGGGCCTGGGTAGTGGCGGAGCGTCATGCGATGAAGCCCCCTGACGTGCTGCATATCAGAGTAGATTGTGCCGTGAAAAACCGAACGCCCACGTGCTTCTTTAAAGGAACTATTTTTGCGGACCTTCAGTGTAATAATGTCTTTTTCTTCCTTCATTGTGAACAAGAACGAAAATACGCCCCACAGTCTTAGTCACCGTTTACACAGTGTGGCATTTCATTACGGGTCCGCGAGGCATGGCCTCGGGCACCACATTTTATACATGTAGGTCGACGACGACAGCTTTCAGAACCATGTCCAAATGTTATAACGTTGATAACATCGGCGAAGGTTCAATACAAAAGTTCTGACCGGTGTCTTAATGTTGCCAGTTTCTATTGTTAGTGGTAGTTCGCTGGTGGCGAAGGTCAGTATCAAGTGTTTCGGGGGGATCGCTTGATTCTTCATTCTAATGATGACTCGCTTCACACTGACCACAATCTGTTCTTTGATCCCTCGAGGAGTTAAGCCTCCGTTAGGTCAAGAAGGTCTGTGTTTAAAACAAGTTCACGTGCGGAGTTTATGGATCGATGGGGTGTTACATTGATGGGAATGTCGCAGAACGTTGCAAAGTTCTTTTGTGTGTCACATTGAATTTTTTCACGGAATTTTAAAAGAAGGTCTCCTCTGGCCATTTTTGTTACATTATAGCGTTCACCTCACGTGGCTGTCAGTGATCGTGGTACAATGAAAGGGGACGTAGTCATGGGTGTTTTGTTAGACTTATCACTGTGTACCACATCAAAATGGGGATATACTTCCTTGGTTGGCTGAAAAAAAGTAAGTTCTTCGGTGCGTACGCGCTTTGAAGCGGCACAGTCATTCAAAGGAATAGACGGCTGCCGATTTCCTTTGGGTGGCTGAGCCCAGAATTGCCGTGTTCGTGAAGATAGGAACAAAAAGGTGTGCTGCCGCCGCCGAGAAAACATAAAGGTCTAGTCACCAGGCTCAATCCGCCACACCCCCTTTTCCCCGGACACGACAATGCCACGCCCGGCTGAGTGTGGAAGGGAGTCGAAACCCACCGTTGGCTTGGGTCCGTGGTGTCGTTGACTCCGTGGTGTCGCCCCTGGCCACTTTTCTTCAGCTTCAATATTTTCATGAGCAGAGAAACAGGCGAAAACTTTGAAGGCGCTATATAGGGCGAGATGTCTCTACTTCGGAATCATCATATTTGCGTCGTAAGAGCTATAGCTGAGTTGCGTGATGGCAAGACAAAGGTAGTACTGATAAATTTCAGTCACAATTATAGGCACTTCAAAGTTGGTAGGAACGTCGCCTACATCGACGCATTCGCGGACGCCAACAATGTTTTCGCCCTCTGCGATGCTGCCGAAACTACTTCGCTGAATTACGGTACCGATGAGATTTCGACGCCAACTCGAGCTTTCCAAAGTGGGAGCAAGACCAGCTCAAAACCCTGCTCCTGCAATTCAAGGACTGCTTCTATATAAATGAGAATATACAACGTACAAGCCAAGTATATTAGTAGTAGTTGTGATGTTAATGAGAAGAAAAGTGAACAGTTTTTTGGTTGTCATTCACATTACAATTATTACTAATAAGACCCGCTGTATTTTCCTTGTAAACCTTGACTGCTGCTCCACATAATTCGCTGGAGGCTGAAATGCTGTAGGCCCGTGGACTAAGATTTGGGTGCACGTTAAAGAACCCCAGGTGGTCGAAATTTCCGGAGCCTTCCACTGCGGTGTCTGTCTCTCATAATCATATGGTGGTTTTGGGACGTTAAACCCCACATATAAATCAAATCAATCACATTAGTTCTGTATTGTCACACACTCCCCTTTTCTTTCTTTTTATGTTTTACGTTGCCAGCCTATTGCACGTGTTTAAGTTACCTTACACAAGCTGTGGGATAATATCTGAGAGTATTCCAGATTATTTAAAAATGATATGGTAGGCTTGACAACGTAAACGCAATAGGAGTTCATTCTCGAACAAATGCGCCTACCAGTGATAATAATAGAGTGTTCGCTGCCGCATGTATAAATGCCGACGCGCCTTGCCGTAGATCCTATTATTGACAACCGACCCCTTGTACGCTGCTATCAGTGCCACTGTGTGTATTGCTGTAAATGGTTCTGTTTACTGGCCACAAGTTAGACTAAATAAACAGTTTCATCTTGCACATAGACACTCTTTCTTTCGTCAACGTCGTGACCAAGTGAGAGTAATTATATTTATGTCAATCCTGAAGGACTTGTGCTTTTTAATGAATGATATTTTCACAAGGAGTGTAATCAGTTTTCAAAATACGTGTTGTTTACTTTGCATTCTTTCATATACGTGCATTAGCACAGCGAAACGGATTTTCCTGTATCAAAGTGGAAATGAATATGCAAGTCAAATTTCCTGCACTTAAACTCCAGCGGTGCAACCAAGTCGCCGGAGTGAAAACATTGCCCTGACAAGTCGCACTACCAGTGAAAAAAACTCGGAAACATCTTGCTACATCTAACAATTATGTTGTCAAGAAACGTTGCAACTTTGAGTGTTTTTCTATCTTTACCCCTATTCGTGATACAAACGGCCCCCAATGTTGACAGAAAGCATCTTTGCAAGCGTTTGGGTGTGATTCGCGACTAACAGATGACCAATAGTTTTGGATGTAACATAGAGCCCAAAATACAATATAAAACTGCCTGTCAATGTATGGTTGTTGTGCAATGTTGATCAACGTCAGCTTCATCACCAATACATATGTACGCCTTGGTAAGTATGCTGTAACAGGTCGTATATATAGTGCAAATGCACTCTCCACCTTTCATCTGCACTTAAAAAATGGGTTACCTAAAAGAGAGCGGGCTCTTTTTTGATAAATGACAGACTACGGTTCTGGTAAAGTTTATTGCAAATAAGATTTACAGCAGTTCATGCAATCGTTCTTCGTAGTGTAAAATTTTCCTTGGCAGTGTTCTGAAGAAACTGCAACACAATTTCCGTTTTTAGGGAAGTAGCGTGGATTGATATGTTTTTCTCCTGGTTTGAAGTCTCTGCACCTTGGCTTTTGTGGCCTCTGGCATGATCCAGGGCAACTATGGCCTCCTTCCGCCGGATATAGCAAAGCTGAAAATAACCAAACTGCATTGCTACATCTGGGCAACAAAATAATTTAAGCCCAATGTAATCAATGCGAAGTTTTTGTATTTCTTAACTATGTTGTACTTCATTCTTTGAAATGTAGTGCATTCGCCCTTATAAAGTTACCCTGGAAGACGCAGTTGAACAAGCGGTAGCGTAGAATGCTTGAAAACATGTGGTTGACTACCGACATATATTTATTAAAAAACATGACCGATTGCTTTGCAATAGGAATTCATATATTGCGAAAGTGAAAACTGTCTTCACAGAAGTAGTGCTTCATGTGTAGTTAATATGGGAGGTTGCACGATGTCTATTAGTGTTTGGCAGCATAACACCCTTTGGCATAAATGTACTCATGTTGACTCCTAGTGGCAGATGTCTATCGGGACGATTAATGTCCATGCTGGTGATATAATCGTTGTGGTTGTTGCACTTTTTAATCTACACCTGGACACAGTGTACCGTGAATCGCGCGCAAGGATTGAAAGCATTGTCAGTTAAGAAGAGAAAGGGCACAGTGTGCTCTTGAGTGAAGCAGACACCTACGCCTAGGCTCATGCATACACTGCCATGTTGTGCTTCAGCAACACGTGAGGTAGAGGTTCGTAACTCAAGCTGCAAGCGCGTGGGCATTCCACGTCCAACTGGCCTCCATCTCGCTTCACCAAGGCACCACAATCGCCCATCGACATCACTGCTTTTCAACACCGCTTACTGTAGCAGTTTCATTAGTCGGTGCTCTTCGTCATGGCCGCAGACTGTCGTGCTGCCAAGCGGACTTTTTTGCGAAATATAAACTAATTTCATTCTCGCGAAAACACACCACTATAAACCATACATACCACATAAGTTCGTCTCCCACCAGCTCAGCCTAAAGTTACAAGTACTTAAGAGTGTACCTAACACCATCATTATGATATAGATATCACATATGGAAACAATCTGTTCTCAGGGATTACGCACACTTGGTTACTTACTTCGCAATCCAAAATCTGAATTCATTAACATCAAGAAGCTGGCGTACAAAGCTAGAGTACGTGTCATCAATCTTGTAGCCTTCGCAATCATATCTTTCAGACAAAATGGAAGCTGTGCGAAACCACGCAGTGCGTTTTATATCATGCCAATACTCACCATACATTAGTACAACTACTTTGAAATGCATCCTATTACTTTCAGCCCTTGAATCGCATCGCTTAATTGCTCGTCTTTGCCTGCTCTGTTGCCCCTTTTATCGGTCACCCGCAAGACATACACTGCCTATTCAATCTGTACGAACATCATCAAGATTGGCTCACACATGTACCATGGTACACATAAGTGGTCGGAAAGCCGCGATGAATAACTCCTTTTTCTCACACGCAATAACCTTGTGGAACACGCTACCTGACGCCATTGCTTCCTAAGTAACCTGCCATTTTGTTCAACAATAGGTGCCTACCATAGTATGTTGAATTTTCTTGTGTACGAAATGCTACATATGTTTCTCTTTACCTTTTTTGTTACCAATTATTTGTTTTACTTTTGCGAAGCCTGTGTATCTCCTAATTTTCTTTCTTTTATTGATATGACATATAAGGAGATCTTGGCACACAATAATGGTGCCGGCTACTCTTTAGCCCTTGAGTGAAACTTGAACTCATATCTTAAAGTGAAACATATACAAAGCAGTGCATGGAAAATAGAACACTCAGACACAGATATGAAAAGACGCACTTATACACACATATCACAACAAAATGATATCACAACAAAATGATAAGTGACATTGTGGCTAGTCCTTACCCGTGGCACACTTCTGACCCTTCTTTTACATTACCTTAGATAGAGTGTGCAATAAAACAGGGCAATTCACACTCTGCTCCTGGACACGATGAATTAACCTACCTGTTCTATATAGGATTATTTGAATACCATTCCCAATTTTTCTATTTTATTTTCAATACCACCTCAGGAATCGGACACTTCCCGCAGGCTTAGAGAAGAGGAAAAGCAATATTCATACCGAAGCCGGGTCGTCTGCTCAATTTGCCTAAGGCGTATAGAACGATAGTAATAAACTATGTCTTCAGTAAAGTATTAGAAATACTTTTAAATGCTCGTCTTTACTATTTACTGCACAATAAACATTTTCTTCAATAATCAATATGGTTTTACGCATATTAAAAGTGCTACTTTAGCACTGTACACACTCCGAAGCAAATTAGTTGTGTACAAGGCATCCAAACTTCATACCATACTCGTATCTCTTGATTTTGTAGGAGCATTCGATGGCGTTTGGCATCCTGCAGTCTTAAACTTTTAAAAGAAAAACTGGAGTGTCCACGTCCCGCCTCCTCACATTTGTTAAATCACACCGTTCACTGAACAGTACATTCTTAGACGACTCTACCGTCAAGTGATACTGCCCTCTCTCACATATGCATCTCCAGTATGGTGGCCTATGTTCCCATCGAAATTCATTAGAGCGCGAGTTTTATCAGTTCAGCGAACCGCCTTAATTTCTTTAACAGGTGCATTTTACACCCCATGTACGTCATCACTACAGATTCTCGCTAACGCGCCTCCGTTACCACTAGAGTTGGACAGACTATGTGCAGAATTTTTCTTATTAATACTTTGGAACGTAACTTACTATGTTGTAAAAGTATTGTACTAGGTGATTCTAAGAGATGGAAAAGAAGAGAAAAGTGAGCCTCGTAACTGTCTGCTTCATGAAGCGACACCTCAACAGTAGCTCACAAGGGATGGGGGTGAAGAGGGATTGAAAGGATAGAAGTAAAGGTATAGAGAAAGGGAGATGCGCTAGGCCAGCGAGCGAGGACATATCGAGGGGATGGGAGAAATAGGAAAGATGGAAACACGGTCACAGGAGTCCCGAGGACGGGGCACCACTTGCTAGAGCTCTTGTCGGCGTCAGGAGGTGGCGTAAGGCAGGTCCAGTGGGTCAGAGCTGCGCTGTCGTCGGAGATCGGCGTCAGGAGATGACGTAGGGCCAGCCCAGTCGGCCAGAGCTGCGCTGACGTCGGAGATCGCGAGGGCACAACCGGTCGGCACGGAATCCAAGGAGCAAAACGGCCGACATACTATATCCATGCAGTCTCTGGGCTCATCACCCCAGTAAAAAAATATAAATTTAGTTTCACTAAACTCTCAACATCACAAGAAGTGGTTATTTTCAAAACAAAAGCCATTCACGTATACACAGACAGCTCATACACGTCATACGCGGCAGGAGGGGCATATACTGCCTTGACAAAAGATGAAAAAACCATAACTGTCAGGAAATTTCAGATCCGCAATGCTTCAAGCGCATACGACACGGAATTAATTGCATTCCAAGAAGCACTCCATTTCGTTTTTACAAATAACTTTAACACGCCAGCGCACATTTACACAGACAGTCTATCGCTTCTAATGAAACTTTCAAGTCCCACTGATAACGACTAAAGAATTCGAAACATCAAGCTGCTTCTTAACCATATATTCTCGTCAGGCAAAATTAAAAAATTCCATCGTGTACCTGGTCATATTGGAATTTCGGGAAATGAACTAGCTGACGCAGCCGCTGCATCAGAAGGGAGGTTAGGCTTCGTGCGTTGCGCCAAAATATCAATTCGGTCAACACAGACTCATTTTCATAAAATCTTGCCTTCATATTCGCACACCCATTGTCAGACTGAGTGACCTGAGACAACGCTATTTCAGTGGATTACAAGTCAGTACAAAATTCTCAATGATTCCCCCCTCCTAAAAGCCTAGCACACGTATTGTCTGGTCACGGACACTTCCAGTGTTATCTTCATCGATTTAATATAACTGAATCGGACAGGTGTACGTGTGGTGCACCTTGCTTGAGCGAACAGCACTGCTTTAATGAGTGCCCAAACACACAACACATTGTGACCCATTTACGAGTGCACAACAGTGATACAACACTACCCGCGCATTATTATGGTCTATTGACCAATAAAAAAATCTCGTGCGTTTGTACTTCAGTTAGTGACTGTCATGCGCAACTCTGTTTTATGACATCCACATGACACGCATTAGCTACCGACACTTTATCAAGAGGTCGCTTCATACTCCAAATCACCTCCCTTACCATCGCAGTCTATCATAACTTTTGCGTGAACGCTCCCGATTATAGTCGCAATTATGCGAACAAAGGTGAGGAAAAACCTCTGCGACTGATAACGATAGCATCACTGCTCCATTTTCCCTAAGTACACAAACCATAGCACCCGCAACGCTTGCGTGAGTACCTATCTCTGGCTTTTTTTTTTCTAAGCATGTCATTATTTCTAATGGCGCCTTTTCTAAGTTCGCAGCAGCAAACAGGCTGCTCAAGGTTTCCTGTTGCATCGCTGGTTGGAACGACAGCCCGACGTGTCTGGCTACACTGCTCCTGGTGAAGAAATGGGCTCCTATATGAGACAGGCCTCTGCTACCATCCTCGTCAACGTTTAGCCCATCCTCAACACCACTGGTTCGTATCCCACTTTGTAATTTTGTTTGGACTTTCCGCATTCAATGGCAACGCATTTTTAATAAACATGCAGAAACACACACACACACACACACACACACACACACACACACACACACACACACACACACACACACACACACACATACACACACACACACACACACACACACACACACACACACACACACACACACACACACACAAAACATGTATTGTTCCGGGAACCCTGTCGCACCTGGATGTGGTGAATCACGCCTTTCGTCATGTCGCCGCCAGGGCCGACCAGCCTTGCTGTCTGACGATGGTCGCAGGCCTGCCAACTCCGATGGCAAGTGCTTGGGCATCTGGCGTTGATTTGAGCGTACGTGGCCTATCAGCCAGAGACGCACAGCGTGGTGGTCTGAGAAGTGTGGCAGCTTGGGCTAGTTGGTATGGCATGACGATAGTTATGGCGCGAGAACAATACGACGACACAGAGACAAGAAGGACACGAAAGACACGAGCGTCTGAGGTCCGTCTTCGGTGGAAACTCGGCGTCGCGCCCTCGGTGTACAAAGGCGCCACGTGTCGCATTTCCGGCGGACGCCGGCACAAGCGACAGTAATGCTGCGAGGAGTATTTGGAACCACGCACCCCCCAGCACATGGAAAACAGCTGGGTGTCTTCGCGCTCCTTCTTTTCCCCAAAAAGTGAGGCGACTGCCTTTCTTCTGTCCCGGCGCCCGCGGCAAAGGAAGGCTCGCCGATCGCAACAGTACCAACGTCTTGAAGTTTGATAGATATGTGGGGTTTAACGTCCTAAAAGCGCCATATGATTATGAGAGACGCGACATTGGAGGGCTCCGGAAATGTCGACCACCTGGGGTTCTTTAACGTGCACCCAAATCTGAGCTCGCGGGCCTGTCTTGAAGTTTAAACGCCTTGTTTGCCACTGTTACAAAGCCCTTCACGTTGCTCCAAACAAGTTCTATGGGGCTCAGCTGACACCGGTAGAGAGGTATAGGTGCGGAACGAGATAACCAGTAGCGTAAGCGATGTAACTTACACGGTATCGGTTCCCGTTTGAGTGTGCCTTATCGACAAGCTTCATAAGCTCCGCCTTCACTATGTTGCTACTCCACGGAATACCTTATTGAGAAGCTAGGGCAGTGTGCCCTTTTGGGGATGAATGATAAGGTGACTATAACACTACCAAGTGATAGTAGTGGAAGAAGCTGAGAACCACTTTTCGTGGTGGTGCCCGTCATTTTCTCGTGGTAGTCGCCTTAGCTTTTTTTTTAGTTTAGGTGACTTGTGCTGTGCCTACGAGGAAACCATGTTCGTGCAGTGTGTGACAATAAGTCTACCTCTTTTCCTAGTGGGGGCGTTTTATGAGCGTTTATTGTATTTCAAGCGAAGCACTCTCAGCCTCCTCTGCATCTTCTTCGTGTGGATGGTCGGTAGCGTCTCGTCCTCTTTGAAACGTTGCCCCTTTTTTGCCGATAGTTAGAATTTCACCTTTTTTTTAGAGAGAACAAAATCGCCGCCATATCCACAAAGTGAAGGATGTAGAGGAGCTTGCTGAGAGGTGCGCGGGGTGTTTCTTGTCCAAACCATTTCTGTAGAAAGGCTTGTTGAAGAGTCGGTGTATGATGTGTAAGTAGAAGGTAACGTTGTCGGGCACGTTTCACGACCAGCCCTACACAGTGTTGGCCACATTGATAGGCACGTTAACTACTTGTCCCATTATGCTATACTGACCGCTACCGTGAGTCATCTCCCTAACGCTCATGAATGGCAGACGTGGAGCTATCAGGCATTCTTCAATGGGGTTGAGAACAGGCAGGCGAGGAGTCTTGGGAGGGTATTGGTACCCGTGCGTAACACTCATCATAGGTACTTGTGACGTGGTGCCATGTCTACGAAGCGATGAGAAGGAAGTGAACGGGGTCGCGATGAGGCGAGCGCGTGGGCAACCGATAAGCGACGCCTTGAGTGGTGGCGCGCCAACTACTGAGCAATGTTGGTATCACCGGAGAGGATGCCATGAGCGACAACTGGAAGCGTGTACACTGGCAGAACTGTTGTACACATGAGACGCGCTGCCGCACAGGTCGCGAGCATAAGAAGCCTCAAGAGCAAGCTCCTAAAAAGCTGTGCAACAATCTTCGCAAGACTCTGAAGTCAAAATCATCCAGAGGTTTTGGCCGATTGCGACCTTTCTCACAAGAATGCTTCTTTAGTGGTAGGACTCTGCCGGCGTTCTCCGTCTCTGCTCTGCACAGATGCAGCGTTCTCTTGCTCCCATGGATCAATTTTGCGGTCCTCTTGATGAGTGCTTTCTCACTAACGCTGTGCCCACATTCAACGTGAAGCCCTTTAAGAACGGTTTAAAAATGCCTGCTACGCAACCTTGTGAAAACCGTGCACATATGAAAAATGGCTCACTAGTCACAGAGATGAAGAGGCGTCTTGAACAGGCACAACTCACTCGGGCTACGCCATGTTTCTGAAAAGCTGCGCATCACCACCTCACAACAACCCTCCTGAGGGATGCGCACATGCGGGCTTTCTCTTAAAATTTCACCAATGACCAAAACACTGCACGCGGGAAAAAAGTCAATCCCAGCAATGTTTTCAATTTCTGTTGGTGCAGCTTGCGAAATAGAACTGCATTGCTAAAATATTTCAGGCACCATTTACTCTGCCCCTACAGCCATGATTGCTCCAGAAAGCTGTACCTTTGGCTGCACTGCCAATAGCTGGTGAAAGGAAGTGTAGTAAACTGAGTGACAGAGTGGTTAATGTTGTTAAGCAGAAGATATTCTTCAAATTGCTTTCAGCAGTTACGTTAAAAGAAATCATCGTGACGACGAAGATTTTTCACTGGACGTAGAATGCTGAAAAAGCACCGAGGATGACAGCGACTACGAGCGCTCAGCTGCGAACTCGCGGGGAGTTGGTTGTACTTTACCCTCATGCGTTAAAGTCGTTTACCATTCGTAACTTTCGTTGTATTTAATATTGAAAGAAGGGTTTCTGTGTAGCTATTCGCATATGTCTGGGTGCTCTTGTGATCACCCTCTAAACATAGCACGAGTCAAAATTATAAGTGTAAGATGGTTTGACGAATATAACGCGCTAGTCAAGACACGGATAATGTGAATATCTCGTCACGAACGTCGCCAAAAACGTTCGGCCAAGCAGTGGCATATACTCGAGGGCAGGTCTGTGCCACTGGTATGCGGGTTTGTGGCTTAGTATCTACCCATGAACGACAACAAACATGGGTAATGTTAACAAAAAGCTCGGCAGTGTTGACCTGGTGAATGCAAAGAATCAATGCCAAGGTACGAGCAGGAATCAAACCCACAGAATCTGCGTGGCATTCAAGTATTTTACCACAAAGCCACGCCAGGTCTCGGAACAAGAAAAAAAGAAAGAAAGACTCTTCATTGGGAAAACAGATTTTTTCTGGCGCTCATAACAACCTTTCAAACAGATCCTAATGTTCATGACACTTCAATTGTGGTTGCAGTGCTGACTATTCAATTTTATAATTATTACGTATGTACTCCTATAATAAAGCCATAACTTCGGCCTAGCGTAAATTGTAGTCGGATGCAATCCGCTAAAACTGATTACCGTAGCAGTGTCGAGGGCTGCCATGCTCGCGAGCAGCAGTACTTCAAGTCAGCTTATCGCTTCTAGTTTTCTAATACTCATGTTCCTGTTGGCATCGTTGCGAAATATGAAACAACTGATTATATAAACTTCTGCAACTTTTCAGCATATATCTGTACCTGCAACATTTTTACTTATATTTAGCGTCATTTCATAACGTGTCGCTCACTAAAAAAATTACATGGGGTCACCTTCCCTCCGCATGCTTGGCATGACGTCAATTACCAAGATACGTGGGATCTAACGGATTTTTATATGTATAAGGCATTTGATTGCGAGAGCAAACATGCGTTAGAAGTCTCAACGAAAGCATTCAGCATCCTGTGATCTCGACAGTGATATATGACGCATTAAGCAGTAACCGCAGGCCGCACACCATGAGGTGAGTGACAGGGCTTAAGTAACGATAGCATCGAATGTCTCGGTTTCGTCATCCTGGTGTCGAGTGGCGGTAGCGCTTACCAACGGCGTCACTTAGATTGTGTGGGTTGGTTGACTCGACGAAAAAAGAAAAATGGCGTCTTTTCGCCCAACAACAATAATCATCATCGAGATTAAATTCATTTTCTTGCACTATCACCGTGCGCTCGGCAATTTCAGGTCATGAACGACATGCGCGTTGTGGGCGTGACATTGCTTTCTTGAACACTCGACCAGCGGCGAGTTTTCAAGAAAGGAAGCGAAAGCAAGCAGGATGATGATTATAGTTGTCGCACACAAAGAAACCCTTTTTATTCGATCTTTTTTTGCAGTGTTCACCTCAAACTCTGCGTTATCGCCGCGCAGCTTCGAATAATTCGTGTGCTCGTCAGCCTGTGCTCATTCGAAGCGGCCATATCAATCGCACTGTATTCCAGCATGTCGTGAAACAGTTTTGCGTGAACATATTGGTTGGTAGGCCGCAGAAGAGGGCAAGCCCAGGGTAATGGAAGAATAGGCAGACGCAAATAGCATTCATAGCAGCGCGGACGTGTTTTAATGTTACCGACAGTTTGCGTCGACTAAATGGTTTGTTGCTACTAGCTATCAGAATTCACTTCAGGGAGTAGCACAATAGCCTGTGAGTTTGTTTTATCAAGGCGTTCTTGATATAGTCATATTCAAAATTTATAAAATCATCCTATTCAGGTATTCTACCAGATAAAGCCTTTCTTTCACAATAACTTATTCATTAAAAAAAAGAATGTGTCAGTTATTTTTGTTCTTAGAACTACAGTTGATTAAAATAACCAACTCGATGATATAGTAACACAAGATACACAATGTTTGTTCAATAAATACATCAGCTGATGTTAATAAATAAGTGTTGATTAATTGTCCTACGCTGTGCCAATAGATATTGCGACCAGTACCGTTCGAGGTAGGTGCATCAGTTCTCTACGCATAGTCCTAATGTATTTTCAACTACTTGGCTCAGGTCAGCTGGAACGCCCTGTATGCTGCAGACCTAACGAATGAATGCAACACAGTGAGTGAGAACGCACCGAATGGTATCCTATTATCAGACATGCTTTCGAAGGCAAACTATCGGTGAAAATATCTGGAAGCTAATTTCATATAACTTAGCCTGTACTTACCTACGGTGATGCATCCACATAGCAGCAATGAAATGTTCATCTTTTGCTTAATGTAGAAGTATGAACACTTGAAATGTTCTAATGTCACTGATGGTGTGTTCTGACGAGGACAGTATTGTAGAGTAGTTGTGTTCACTTGACAAGGAGCCTTATATGTGCAGACGCGTCTATTTGGCCTTACAAAGCTTTTCGGACGAAGGTTGATTAGTATGTGACGAAAGCACTTTGTCTTTCTACGGAAGTGAAAATGTTCTTTGTCTTTGACAGCTTTCAAGAGCAATACATTTGGTACCTTCACCGGAAAAAGAATGTCATACGGCTTGTAATCAACTGGTGCTTTTGTTCCACATTTATATTTGAGTTATATTCAGGGACATAGTTTATTTCTACATTAATTTTCACAGTTACGCGTTGGACGAAAGCAGACAGTGGCAATATTTTCAACTAATGTATCCCACTTGAGATATTCTGGTTCTTAAGACACTATGGCTTTTTGCACGCTTCGCAGCAAACCGCGCCTGTGTAGTTCATATCGTTGAACGTGCGAATATTGCGCTGTGCGAATGTATATTATTTCAAAGCAAGAGGACAACGAGCGCAAGCACGAGGAGATGGCAGGAGCTACAGAAACCCCAAGTCAGCTAATAAATTTGAAGCAAAAACCGCTTTTGTAAGAATTGTTTCTTGAACGCACGTCCATGCGGCCGCCAATAAGATCAGATGAGATGAATAGGATTCAGACTGCAGGTCAGACAAGATCAAATAATACAAGTGTGTTCAGCCTTTTATGGCAATACTCCTGACATGTAAGCAGGGTTAGTATCCGGCTGTGGTTCAGTTATCACGTTCTAGAAATGCTTAACTTCGAGAACACCGTTCAATGGCTTCTACTTGACATGCATCAGCTTTGAAAATGGCAATTCGTAGAGTGAAATACATTTTTATTATTCTTGCGAACTGCTAGCCTGCCTGAAAGACCCAGTGTGAAACGTTTTCGTGTTTGTGTGGGTGCCTGTGCATTTTGTTCTCATTTCTGTTTTTGTCTCTCTCTCTCACTTCATACCCCATATTTCCCAAGCCCAGTGCAGGATAGCATACCGAATCTTAGCCTCTAGATAACCTCCCTGCCATCTTCTATTCTCTGTTTTTCTCTCTGTAGATCGCACAAAACATGTTCTCCTCCACATGTCCAGATGTACTTCCATGAAATGCTGCCTAAACACTCTTAACACACAAATTCTTTACGCCGTGTGTAGTGAATGAGTGACGTGACTCGCGCGCACGGGTTCAAATTACACACTGATTTTGTAAACGACGTTATACAACTATATACAAGCACAAGGAAGCACTATCGCCAACCTAAACACTGGAACCGAGACAGCAGGAACTGCTGCTGTTGCAGTATGCAACATTTTTCCTTCCAGATATTTTTTGCTTTGTTTAGCAGTTAGTACGTTTGTATACATTATTGAAGCATCTTTTTTACGTGTAAACAGAAAGACGCAGCAATAAATACGCATTCACACACACACACACACACACACACACACACACACACACACACACACACACACACACACACACACACACACACACACACACACACACACACACACACACACACACACACACACACACACACACACACACACACACACACACACACACACATAAAATTATCCATATTCTTAAGAAAATATCAAGGAATATATTAGGTAACGGGCATGCCAACTAAGAAATATATATTCATTCACACGTTGTAAAGATATCTGTCTGGTTGCTGTCGCTCTTGGTGCTGCTGAGCGTGATGGCCAGGTGGGCGCGATGTCACAAGTTCTGTGGTGTTCACGGGCAGGCGCGAGACGGGTAGTGAAGCCGGAAGCTGTTCGGCGGCTAGCCTCATCGGCGAATGGGTATCGTGGTCTGCACTAGGCGCATGTCGCACTGCTGGAACACTTGCCTCAACAGACACTGGCAGCCATGTTGCAAACGTCACGTCAAGGGGTTTCTGATGAAATGAAGATTCTTGACCCGCTGAATGTGACCAGGGCGCCGAGCAGGAACCTGGCAGAGCTTCGCTGTTTTACATGTTCTGCTGTTGTCGAGAACGAAGGATGTTAGACCACATTGCTAGATAATTTTCCTGGGCTTCGAGAAATAAAGGTCACCCTTGAATGAAACCGATAGTTTCTTCACCCGCACATTGTCTCCTACTGCCCCTGTTGTCGGTTTGGCGCTTTAATCCCGTCAGTGTTGGCTTTGCTGTACTCTTGGTTTCGCATGACACGTTGCCGCAGCCTTGCCAGTTTTTGGTGGGGTGTATTGGTGAACGACTGGCGGTAAGCTGAAGATGTCAAGCATTTTTCTCGGCAGCCTTTTATGTAGCAACACTGCAGCTGCCACTGCTTTGTGGCGTATGGTGTACACCTGTATACGGCGAAGTAGTCCCCTACAGCAGTTCACAGCAGACGCTGTTCCAGACGGGCCAGCTGGAGGTAAGTCTTGAACGTGCGGTTAAATCTCTCAATCTGTTCGTTTTCCTATGCCTAGTAAAGCTTGAGCGTGCAGTTGAACCTTTTGATGTGTTCGTTTCTCTATGTTTAGTAAATAGATTAATAATACAGGTCCATCGCTCGTTCTTCTAGGAAGTAGACAGATTCTTTAGAGATGAACTAGAACCGATTATCGCTGACCATATCGTCACGATATCATTCCTGGGCAAATATGTTGAGCAGCAACTCGGTCAAGGTTCTTATATGAATGTCTCTGAAAACTGTCCTTCTGGCCATTTTGATAAGCAGTTGTTTCAACTTCTGACGAAGAAGTCGCGGCATTCATGCATGGCTCGATGCTTCGAGACTCGTTCTGCTTTGCCTGTTTGACCAGCAGGTCGAGGGTCAGTTTTATACCGAAATAAAGCCTTTGAGTTCTCTACTGAAGGCATTTGTCTCTTCAAAGTGGTGCCAAAATCCGGGAGCCAAAGAACGACGGCATCTACAGCAACCGAGGGCAGACAAGCGTCTGGTTACCAACTCGGCGGCCTAATCATCCAGGCTGCTACGTATCAACCGACCGCCATCATGGTATGAATAAAAGGCAAGCGTAAAACTGACCGCAACCTTTAACGAAGATGGTGAACGAAATTAAGGAGGCTTTTTTCAAACGACGGAGCAAGCTTGCACAATATACTCGCAAACTAATTGGAAAGTGTCACAGGCGAGCTGAAATCTATTCATTTAATGATAGAACCGTACTTAACGAGCCACCATGTGAGCAACAATTTCTTCGGGTTCCCGAGTACATTAACAAGGCTGTTTCTTACTCGTCCAAACTGAAGTACTGAATTATGCAGTTGCAGCCATCGGCAAAACGTGCAGCACCAAACCCAACTATTACCGCGGTGGATGCCCCGACCTCGGTCACAGCATAAGACACGTGATTAGAACTACTGAACTTTACGGAACGCCTCGCAACTGGCCTGCAATTTGGGAACATTTTCAAACCGCATTCCACGAGAACCCGATTGACGGATGTAGACAAGTTAGCCTATTTGAGATCAAGTCAAGTTAAGTTTATTTCCAACACATCAAGTCAGAGGTCCTTAGGCGAAAAGATGTCGCAGAAATTGTGAGAGAGCCCAAAGACTTGTACAAGAACAGAAGACATTTAATTGTATATAAACCTCCTTTCATTATTTCATAAATACGTACATGAAACAAGGCCATTATCATTGACATTGCAAACATCTGCATTCACATCAAAGCGACTGAATAATCATCTTTCATTCACACGCATGTATGGTAAGACATACATTTTTAACTCATCTGCACTCCCCCGTGTAATCCGCATGTGGAACAGCCTTCCAGATGAAATCGTAGCTGAATGCGATCGAAAAAAATTCCGGCACCCTCTACTCACCCATTTCCAGGATTAACTGCTCGTTTTATTCATATCGTAATCAGCACCTACGCGTTTATTCACTACTAGTATCTCGCTTTTTTTCTCTCTTGCAATAAACATTTTTTTTTATGGTTTGGACACTAACATGCCATTCAGTTCTTGTGTATTCTTGAGTGATGTGTTCTTTTGAATATTGGAAATTCTTTTCCCAATCTGTGCTTGTTTTTTTAGATTGTTTTACGTCATTATCTCACATGTATACTCATCTGATTTTCATTGCCGTTCTATTCCTGTTAAAATGATTATTAATACTTTTTCATTGTTATTCCTGTTAGGACTTGTATAATAATTGACAATTAGTTTATGTTATTGTTTGTATGGAAATTGTACCAATTCGTGTATCTATTCCTCTTATGCTCCCATTGCAGAATGCCCTGTTGGGTTTGTAAGGTATTTTGAATAAATAAATAAATAAATAAATAAATAAATAAATAAATAAATAAGTAAATAAAATATCATGAATTTAACTGCACATGCACAGAACAAAGTAGGAGCTAGTTTCTTTTTAGCGAACAAAATAAACACACAGATTGTACACGGGTTACATAAATATTGTGTGCACATGCACAAGAACAACAATTTTTAACAAAAAAATAAATCCAAAAAACATGATAAAATGCAGATAGTTCCGTTTGACCAGAGGCCGTATGTTGAGGAGCAGACTTCGCACATGTTTCTTGAACTTACGTTCAAGTAGCTAAAAATCGGTACTAGTTGAAAACTTGTTCAACATAGTAGGTATCTGATAATTTATAAAGCATTTTACGTAACGTGTGCGAGGAAAGAAAACTGGTCTGAATTGATTTCAGGGAGGGTATCGGCATGAGCTGTCAACTGAATGTTTATGAAGTTGGTTTTTCTGAATGTAAAGTAGCAGTTTATATGTCTAAAGTTCACATTTTCTAGTAAGATCATGTTTTATAAAGAACTTGTGTGTATCTAGTTCGCTAGGAAGCCCATAAAATTTAGAAATTTTACTAGAACGTTTTTGTGTAACACCTCTAATTTGTTCAGGCTCTGCGCAGACGTTTCTGCTCATACCAGCGCGCAGTAGGATAACCAAGAATAGAAATAAGCGTAGTATAGAGCATTTTGTAGCCATAAAGGTACAAGGTCCGATAGCTTATACATGCAGCTTTCAGTTTTGACTAATTCAGGGAAAAGTTATGATATATGTGTA